AATTATGGGTTTTGTATTTTATTTTAATAGAAGTTGATGTTACTTTTGCAATTATCCATCAATTTTTTAAAATTAAACACTATCTACAGATTTGCATCGAAGCGTTTCTTATGATAGTGATTTTAATCACTGTCAGATTAAATCTATACTGAACCCAACTATGCAATGTCTCCACTATGCCGCGACCCCACTGTGCTACCGTTTTTTTTTTTATTTATTTAAAGATGAAATATATATTTGCAAATAGATCGTAATTTTATATTCGATGCAAATCTGAGAAGGTATTCATTTTTCTATGATGTGTTTTTTTTTGTGTGTATGTGTGATATGTGATTTCTTTCAACTATACGTCAAAAGATCAGAAATCAAATCTTGTTCAACATATTGCCTTTAAAAAAAAGAAAAAATTTCCCTCGTTCCCAGTAAATGGAGGAAGTCACCAACAAATATTACAATTTTAAAAATAAATAATTTTTGAAATTTTTTCACTTTTTTTCTTAACACTGCCTTAACTTTTTCAAAAATTAACAAATCAAAATAATTTGTTTTTAATAGAAACCTTAGGTATTTCTCTTTTATTTGATATCATTTTTTTGAAATTCTGACCCTAAAAACCTACCCACGAGAGGATTCAAAATAGCAATTTTTTCAACTATTTTGAAAAATTTCTGGAAACTGCATCTTTTAAACATGTTAAATTAAAGCTTATGTTGTATATTATAAATTAAAAATAAAATTATCTCTGCGACATTTTCTATGTATTAAATAGCTGCCTTAGTTAAAAATATGATATTTTATGTTAAAATTTTTTATTTTATGTTTTCAACTTGATATAACTTATAAAAATATATCAACACAAATTTTTGTTTCCAAAGACTATATACCACTTGCGATATATTTTTTTTAATTCGGAAAATTTCTCCTTATACAGGGGGCGTTCAAAATTTGAAACATACGTATAAAATGTAGAACTTTTTTAACTTAAATTTTGATAGTGTTTCTGAAATATTGCGTCCTTTAAAAAACATGTTAAATTAAATCTTATATAACGCACTATAAGTTAAAAAAAAATTATCCTGACGACTTGTCTTACCTATGTGCAAATGGCTGTCAAAGTTGAACAAATTTATGAAATATGTAATAATAAATACATTTAAATTTCTTAAAATTAAACACTATCTACTGATTTGCATCATAGTGTATTTTACGATAGTGATTTTGTTCGCTGTCAGATATAATTTATATTTGTCTCGACTATACCACGTCCACACTATGTTGCGACCTCGCTGTGCTACCGTATTTTTGTTAATATTAATGTTTGGTTTTGCTAAAATTTGTTAATTAAAACGGTATTTTTTTTTTAATAAATATGGTCTAAGAAATATAGTTTAATTATGAGTCTAATGAAGCCCCTGATAAACTCTAGAGATCACTAGATTGCATGTAATACAACTAGAGAACAATTAAAGTTGTACTTAGAAATTTCTAGTGTTTCAAAATCTTATTTTTGAAAAATAAAAATGGCTACAAGAAAAATAATCCAACGTTTTAGATTTTGAAGAAGTTTCACAATTCTTACTAAAATATTAGTAATATTGCTAGGAATAATGCTACTTCTATCACTTGATATACAGTAAATAAGTTGAACTACAGAATTAATTTCATAGAGATAAAATTGGTTATCACTTGTGAGTTGATGATTCTTCTGTCGAATTAAAATTAAAATTTTTAATTTCCTTTAAACTATTGATCGAATGAAAAATTCAGTTCCTTTGTACAAACTTATAGTCTATTATTGTGGACGAAATGGGTACTTACATTGATATAGAGTAATACGGATAATTGTAGGAGAGTAAACGGAAAATTTGTATAATCTCGTTACCATTTTAAACAATCAAGACTAAGAGAAAACATGGAGTACTGTATATTAATTTAAATCATGTATGATCTAGTCTTAACTATAATAGCGTCATTTCCTTAACTTTTACCCCAACTATTTGGTGTAGGCTCTACATTACAATGATTTAACAAGATATTTACACCGGCTGTTGACTTGACGCAACTTCTTTATGAGTTAGTAAGAGAGAAAAGTGCGTGTCAATGTTAAAGTTCCTATATGGCCACCCATCCGGAAAACAGTAAACATCACAGAAGAACATCGGCGACTAAACGATTCATCACACAGGTGAAGAAGCCAACTAGTGAACATATTAAATTTTCGGATATTTTAATTATTTAAATAATGAATATAATATTATGAAATTTAAGAAAACATACTTGTTAATATACATAGAAGGCGATTCCTTTATCATAAATCTTTTAATTAATTTAAAAATAAATTCGATAATTTATTTACTAGTTTTTTTTAGTTGCATGTTTTTTCTCAATTTATCATTCATGAAATTTTTTTATGTTTATCCCCTTATACCATCACAACTATTTTTTCAAATAGTGACATACATAATTAACTAGTTATTTTTTAAGATAATGATCTAATTCAGCAAATGAATGTTCAATCAAATTTTCGGACCATTATTTCAGAAGTGATTATCATTTTTATACTTGGACGGTAGGAAGAGTGAGACCGGAGAATATCCAGCGATATAAATAACAGCACCCGCTTCTCACCTTCAGTCTTTAAATTGTTAATAACTTCTGAAATACTGATCCAAATATTCCATGTTGTGCACTTAGCTGACCTATAACTAAAAATTATAACAACTCAAAAAGTAATTATACAAAACTGGTTATCAACTAATCAAAATTTTATTTATACTATTCTCCATTTAATAGTAAAAAATAACAGATTCTCATTTAACTTTCGATAGTTACCCCTGAAATCTACTCTTAGGAATAATTTTTTCTTACAATAAACTTGATTTTTACAATAGTTTATAAAAACAAATTATATTTTAATTTGTACATTTTTTAAAAAAATATCATTATTTAACGAATAATAGGGAATTTTTATACTTAATAAATCATAATGTATATTATAACATTTTTTACAGCCTTTATGTCTTAATAATATAGTTAAATAAATTATCTAGTATTCTGAAAATCTGATCTTATCAAATTACCGTAACCATGACGATGACTAGGATAATACACCAACATTTCAAAAAAAATATTAACAAAAATTGAGAAGGAGGGTATGCTTTCCACCAGACCACTAAAAAAATACATTTAATGTTACATTATTGTTTCAACATTATTATAAATTAAAATATGTATTTACCTAGAATAGAAATTTGTAAAAAGTTTTCGTTAAAATGCAAAACCCTAGAAATACTAGAAATTAATTATATATATATACAAAGTGGTCCGCGATTTTTTGATAAATTTAATGACTTGATAAAGTCAATATTTTTCGTTAATTTATTTTTATAATTTTTATACGTTTTGGACTATAAAATTTTTATAATTTTAATTATAGTAAATATTTACCAAAAGTGTAAAAAAAATCTCTATAATTTTATTTTATTTTGTCTTGTTCATTTTATTGTCTGCTATATTTCACTCACGTATTTATAAATTGAAAAATCAAATGTGAATATTAATTTATACCAAAATGTATGATGTGTATTTTATAATGTTATAGTTGATTTAATTAGTAGCGTAAACTATTGCAAAACGGAGAAATTGAAAATTTATAAAATATATATTATTTTAATAAATTTTAACATATGTCTAAAAATAATACAGTAATAATAATCTAATTATACATGATTGTTATATACGAGGTAAAAGTTTTAATTATTTAAAATTTATTAATATTAGTAAAAAATAAAAAAACAAAGGAAATTTGTTGTATCAAATATTTTATCATGTAGAATAAAACAAATACCGTGTTTTTATTCGTAATAAATAAATAGTAATGATATCTGTTATGTTCTCTCTATCAAATTTTTA